TTGTTGCTGGTCGGTTATCTTCATCACCTCCGTCTTGTCTATGTTCACTTAGAGTCCTGTCTTCGCCGACTGATTCTTCGACCAGTTTGCCAGTTTTTGCTTGTAAGTCTTCGATTTTGTGTGACATCAAACATAAATCATCCACGCGCGAAATCCAGGTCTTCTAGGTTCTTCACATCTGTCCAGGTACAGTAATATTAACTGATGACGTTTCAAGCACAACAGCAATATTTTGTTCTCCTAGTAGTTGTGGATACGTTTCGACTTTAAAGCATCTCTTTGAGCACAGTGTTGTCCATCTACTCCTCTGATTATATCGCGCGATTAGAAAGGCCCGATAAACACTAATGTACATGCATGTTTCAATAGGATGTCTGCTGTTATTACTGGATTATTAAGTCTTACAGAAAGGTATTCAGACTTCATTTATAATTGTTTTAGCAATAGTTTAAATACAAAGTGCTATACACTGGAAACCCTAGCGAAGCCTTTGAAATAAAGACAAGAGTAAGACATGGCTGTCTGGCTACTATCATCTACGACGGTATTCCTAATTGTGTTGTGGACTGGATTATGCCGGAGACTGTGCATGGTAGCCAGAATACAAGAATAAGTTAAACCGTTAAGAAGACTCTGCTGGATCTGAACCATTTATGTCTTTTGTCACACAAACTGTCAGACTTGCAGGTGGAAACCGACACAAGTTATCAAGAAGCGCTGGCAGTAAAGACAGAACTTCACGTGAACATGTAGAATACGAAAGTGATGAAGACAACCAACCAGAAATATCTATAAACGCCAATCTCTACCAACAGAATAAATTTCAAAATAGGCCAGATCCTCCACTTACTTAGGAAGAGATGAGGTTGTCAAAACCAGCCAGGATTGGAAAGGCAAGACAAATCTTCGTCACTGTGAAATCAGTTTACAAATCTTCTGCACTCCGCAGCATAAAGAATAGAATTCGAATTTCCACCAACAATGTTGGGTCAGTAATTTCTTCACTATGGGTCAGAAAGTTTGCCGACGCGTCACGAAGACCATTTCCAACTGGCTAATTCAGACATTTACCAACGGCTGCCTTCGCTAACTCCATAGTGTAGATTAAATAGCCGGCTAGAAAGAATTAGCATCAAGAAACTGTAGGAACCAACCAGTCAACCACGAATCTGTTGCTCAATAAATATGTAGCAGTTAATGGAAATAGATCAGATACACTCTGAGGAGAATGTTGGGTGATATCGTGCAACAAACCAGCGCTCGAGTGGAACCCGAATCAGAAAGAATGAGATGGAGACGAGAGCCCATGATCAATTGTAAAGCCAACTAAATATAAGATGACTGAGACCAGGACAAAGTGGAGGTGGGCTATTACAGCCCTATGTTTCACTTTGAACCCGATGGAATAAGAAGATAATAATATTTTAAAAACGTTACTCGCTATAAATTCACTTTCTCACTAAAGTGTCGAGCAGTGTTAATCTGCCGGTACTACTTAAACTCATTATTAGCTGCAGTAAGAAAGTCAAACAATTTTAGAAGTGTAATAGATCGTATTTCACGTTGTTTCCCTCTACAACGAAATAATTTTCGATTTCTAAATTCCTTTTTGAACAAAATAGTTACATTAGGGTAGTAGGATGAAACGAATCAAGAGGTTAAGTTGATAAAGTTTAATCAATTGTTGTAGTTACTGACCGACTGCTTTCAACATAGAACTTCGAACCGATGTGCAGCAGTTCAAGTCGTCACTCTCCCTACATGTAGTACACAAAGCAAGGGAAGAAAGTAAAAAGAAATGCAAAATAGAGACAGTAAACAGAAAATATGAGACAAAAAGACCAGTAATATCGAAGAAAAATCTAATTTTATTGGGTATTATAGGTCACAAGGAGTGGATGCATCTGCACCAGCCATTGAGAACGATCACTTTGAGCCATATCACCGATTGTCTCCAGCCTCCATTGATGTTTACCTTCCTCAGAACCCTAACTAGTCAGGAAGTCTATACCTCCCTAAGTGTCTGGCTCAAACTAACTGTTTTGGATGCGATTGACTGATGAAGCTATGTTTTGGTTTGACCACCACTATTTAGCTCTTCTCCAACCTCATCCATCCTATATTAACGGCTAACATTACCCTTTGTCGAGGAAGGTGATGACTGGACAGGCGTAATACATGTCCTAACCATTTCAATCGATGTAACTACACGAACTCATCAATTAGTTTTCCCTCCACACCACCTAACACTCAACCGATGCCTCACCCCAATATTACTCACCCTATTATAAGACCAGCTAACATGGGACGTAGGACGCAGACACCTATGATCAACGACTTTTACAGCTAGATATCAGACTTCTTATCAACTACAGTCTTTTCAGTTAGCATTCAGGAAATCTAAGATTCCCCAGGTTAGCCAGCCTAGAAAATGGGATCTTAAAACCAGCAATGGACAAATTGCTGCTGTACGAAAGATACTTCGATGACACTTTTATAGTTTGTCAGGACGATTCAGATTTAAATTGTTCCTCACAGGAGTTCAACAATTGCCATCCTTCAATTAAATTCACAATGGAAATTGAAAGTGAATCAAAGATCCCATTTCTGGACGTCGAATTGACAAGACATGACGGAACTCTCAAAAGATCTATCCATAAGAAGCCAACATGGATTGGCCAACTGACAAACTTATACAGTTGGATATCTATCAGTCGTAAGAGAGCTAACCTCACTTCGCTGGCCCACGTTATCAGAAGAATTTGTAGCGATGACGTCTGAGAAGAAAAGCTTCTACTTCTCGAAAATATCCTGGCTCAAAATGGATACGCAGCGCGTTTCGTGGAGAAGAACATAAAACAAAAGCGAAAAGGGAAGAATGCACTTCAGGGCCAAAGAAAACACTTTATTTGAATCTAGAATTCAGAGGAGCAGATATCCTTAAAAGGAGAATCTCGAATTCCCTAGAGAAGACTTTTACTGCAGCAACTCTAAGAGTGATATTCTCTAACCGCCCACTGCTTCAGAGTAATGTGAAGGATAGACTTCCGCATATAACCACTTCAGTGTGCATATATCAGTTCACCTGCTCAAGCGGAGCTAGGTACATAGGTCATTCTATAAGGATCTTATCAAAACATGTTAGAGAACATCATCTCGTATGACTGAAAAGAGGAGGCACTGGTTCAGTCAGAAGTACCATAAATGAACACCTCATCAATATCTGCCACAGCATCTCAACTAACTCATCATTTAAAGCCATTTACAAAGTAAACAACAATGTTGTTTCTCTAATTCTACCTCTCAAACTTTTGTTCTATAGATTTACTATGGAAATATCCAGCTGTGTGGAACTCAGTGGACATCTCATTGCTACTCCATGTGCGTCGGTGGCACAGTGGTTAGGACTCTCGACGACCATGCACATGGTCCAAGGTTCGAGCTCACACCGGCGCACACCAGATATCTATGGTCGGCCTGCGAATTTTGGGCTACCGATATCCACGCTGAAAATTCCATACTTGTACCAAAAATACAGTGTGGAATCAAGCTGTTACCAAAAATAAAAAAAATAAAATAAAACCTAGCGATAAGATAGGTTATTAAAGTCGAATTGAATTTCATGACTGCGCATAAATAGTAGACGTCTGGACTCTGAGGGAGGCATAGGGGGAAGAACAAAATTCTGGTGTGTCCTGCCAACCGTTTCATAAAGGTATAAATTAATGAACCAACATGAGTTGGAAGGAGATCATTGAAAAGAGTTTTTCACATTGTATGAAGTCAATTATCAACAAATGAAGCACTTTATGTTGTGGTGAAATTATCATAGATATTATAGGAATGATTTCCTTCGTAACTTTATCAGCCCATATATACATATACAATTTCTATACATTCCCAGTGGAACATAGGATTCCAAGCTAGAGACTTAAAGTTTCTGTAGCAGTGGTGATTATTTTTACAGGATGTGGTTGCTAGCCCCTCATTTCCAACCTTTCGTCTTTACCAGTCTTCTTACTGCCTTAGCAAGGTAAAGTAGTGCGTCCGTGGCCGGGGATCGAACCTCGGGACCACCTGCGTGGTCAGCGAGCATTCTACCGCTGTGCCACCGACGCACATATATATATATAATTCAAGTGATTGTTTGTTGGCATTTTATTGGGTTCTAGTGGGAATCTGTGACCAGTGGGGTACAGCGGATGGTCGGGTGTGAGGTAAAATACTCACCAGCCATGACACTGGCTGGTGGTCTCTCTGTATCGTGAGTTGACAGAAGTTGGAATCCATGGGATGGCCACTGGATTGAGTCCCAGTGTAACCGGGAGGTCCTGGGCTCAAACCTTGATGTCGTGGTGGGTGCTAACTGCCGAAGAGTCACGGACTGAGACGATAAGAACAGCTAGTTGTCCGGTACTTCCTTGTTGGTTTTTCAATGGTTCTCCAACCAATGTTAGCTCATGAAGAAATCCATATTTCTAAGGTGGACGAGACCATCTTGCCCAAGAGTTTATTTTTAATTCCTGCTTCATTCAAATCAAAAACTAGTATCCCTTCTGTCTTAGTTATCCTTTGATTTAATTTTTATTTCTTTTATTTTTATCATTTTTTTAATTTTTGATTACAGCTTTATTACACACTGTATTTTTGGTACAAGTATGGAATTTTCAGCATGGATATCGGTAGCCCAAATTTGCAGGCCGACCATAGATATCAGGTGTTCGTCGGCAGAGGATCGAACCTTGGACCATGTGCATGGTCGGCGAGATTCCTAATCACTGTGCCACCGAAGCACGGGATGTGGTTGCTACCCCCTCATTTCCAACCTTCCTTCTTTACCAGTCTTCTTACTGCCTTAGCGAGGTAAAGTACTGCGTCCGTGGCCGGAGGATCGAAACCCCGGACCATCTGTGTGGTCGGCGAGCACTCTACTGCTGTGCCACCGACGCATAATAGTTCTTTCATTTTTCTACTAACAATTTCCTCTATTGTATCTTTAGAATCATTTCAACTTGCCTGAGAATAATCAACCAGATTATTGGAAATTACCATTGAATGAAAACATACAGGTCAGTTATCGTGTTCATGGATTCTATTATGCATGGTATGATGCACCAAAGATATCATCGAACAATAAGCATTACTCAACAAACGATATAATGAATAACAACAATTGGACACATTGGAATCATCCACGTTTACGACATTGGAATGCAAAAGTTGCTATTGGTTATTCAACTGAACCGCATTATCCACCCTATTTAATTGCATCATCTTTTTATCCAAAATTAGGACCATATTCATCAAAAAGTCAAAGTATTATTCATAGTCATATGAAAATGGTTAAATTTGCTGGTATTGGTAAGTTTTCTTGGTAGTTTTTTATGTAGTATTTTACATCCTTCTTATTCAATGTTGAAGATTTTTGTTTATGTATGTATTGAATAAATGTAAGTGTAGATAAATTTATAAGATAAACAATGAAGTAATTTGAAACCACTTGTGTATCAGGTTCGAATTTCAGTGGGACAGCAATCAATCACTGAGTAAATTCAGGCACATCCAGCTGACGAGACATTCACAAATAGGAGGAAATGCTCATTCTAAATTCCACTGTTAGTCATCATTCATTAAAATTACTTCAAGTTAATCCTCAGACAGCAATGAAATGTCTGTACTCGGAGCTGACTTTTCAGCACAGAGGGCCAAACAATATCAACCCGATTAATCAACGAAAAAAAATCAAATTTGAATTAAAAACAAACATTAAAGTAGTTTTGAAGAATGTGTTTGTAGCGATTTGAGTGTGAAGTGGTGACCAGTGAGGTTCATCCAGTCAAGTGTGAGGATGGATGTGCCACCAATGACATTGGTTCGTGGTTACACTAAATCACTAAATTCATGGGCTGCTCATTGAGAATTCGGGTCCAACTGGCTGAATGGTATACGAGATAGCTTGTCTTGTAACTAGGTGACCCTGAATTCGAACCTTGGTGGTGAGTGCGTACTGCCGATGACTCGCAAACTAAGATGAAACAGCTATCCAGAACTCCGTGGTCAAACTCGTAAAAGCAGCCTGGATTTGTTTCAAGTTTGATCACGGATTGGTATCAGTTAGAAAACCATTGGAAAACCAGTACTAGAGGACTGCACAACTGTTTCGTCCTAGTTTATGACTCATCGACAGTGTACAATCACCGAATTTTGAACCCTGGAGCTTCCAGCTATAAAACGAACTGGTAAACTATTGGGTCACTGGGAGTCAATTCAGTGGCCAGCCCATGAATTCTAACTTCAACCAACTCGTGATTCTGACGCTTGCTAGTGATTGGTTGCAGTATGAAGTAACCTGGAGTTCTAATGAGTAGTCGTAACCGGTGGGTTCTACTCGATTGGGAGTGAGAAAAAATACTTACTGATGACATTGGTTGGTGGCCCCGCTAAAATCACGAATGGGTAGAAGTTAAAATTCTGTTCTGACCGAAACTACGACCTAGTAGACTATGAGCGAATACTAACTTAATGCGCTGGTCAATCTGTCCTAATCGCACCTCAACAACACCAGCAGCAACAGCAATAATACCGGCAGCCCGAAAAGACAGAAGAAGAGACCGGACGTCGATAAGAGAGCTTTTACTGTTTCAAATAACAGTTGAAATGCTAGACAGAAATGCTGTTTATATATAAAGTCAAAATGACCTTGAAAACACAGTGATTCCGTGATACGTCAAAAGCATTATCCGCCAAAAGGAATCCGGCGATTCAAACAGGGAGAAGAGCAAAGGGCTTACGCCAGTGCGCGACGACTCCTTAAAATAGTTATTTTAAGGTTTAAGGCTAAACTAGGTGTATATAACAAATTCATATGAAGACCATTGAGTTAGGTCCCTGCGACTGAATGGTCTACTGACTTGTTTTGTACCCGGAAGGTCCTGGGTTCGAATTGTGGTCGTGGATGCGTACTGCCGATGAGTTCCAAACTAGAAAGAAACAGTTGTCCAGTCCTTCAGTCATGGTTTTCAATGGTTCTGTAACAGCAAATCAGATCTTTCTTTCTTTCGTTACTGAAACTTATCAAGGGGGACCAAATGTATGATTTCAGTCTAGTAAGGGACTTGAAGCTAAAGTAGTTTGTATATCTGTAGTTTCGATTTATTGATTGCTCACTTATCTGTTAATTATATAGCTACTCAAGATGGTTATATGCATTTTTTTGCACAGTTTTCACATTTTTTGTACCCTTACGTAACCAATAACTGTTCGCTTAGAGTACCACAATTACCACCTACAAACAAATGCTATTTAACTGTCCAACTGATGCACAAGAATAATGTTTCTTAAGTAATACAAGATCAAGGGGTGGTATTTCTTTGACTTACAGAAATCTCTGTCACTTCTTATTCTTGTTCAACTTCGGCTTTTATTGGCTAAGATATCGGAGTGACAGTGGGAATACTCCACCAGCTTGTCTGCAAAGTTATGAAAAATAAAAAACAAAATGTATGAAACTTTAAATTTTGATTATCAAAACAATGCCAGCTAGTGAACTTTAAACGTCATTGTACTCAAATATAAACTATTTTATACACGATATCAGAGTATTACATGGACACTGTGGCTCTGAAACATGGCCAATACGAGTTGAAGACATGAAAAGGTGGACTACTTTCGATCATAGATGTCTGCGATCTCTGTGTCACGTTAGGTGGTTTAATAAGGTAAGTAATGTTGACGTTAGGCGTAGAGTGTTGGGCAAACAGGGAAAATCAATCGACGAGGCTATAAAGTTGCATAGATTGACATGGCTAGGTGACATTGTGCGCATGCCTAACCATCGCCTCCCCTGACGGGCATTACTAGCTGATATAGGTGGTGCAGGTTGGAAAAGAGTAAGTGTTGGCTAAACAAAAACATGGCTTCATCTATCCATGAAATAAATCCTTGACAGTTAAACTGAGTCAGGTAGGGAGATGCAGACTCCCGGGTTGGGGCCCTCGGGACTGACGCTAAGAATCAATGGCTGGAGACAATAGGTGACATGGCTCAAACTCATCGTTGTCAATGGCCAGCCCAGATGTATTCAGTGTCTGTAATCTTTCATATTCCTTTCTACCATTACCCATTCTGTTTCACCCTTATACTTGTCAAACTCTGTTGATACTCTCCACTCATCTTCCTGTCTACCTCTGTGTGACATTTGGAACGTGGCAACTCGAACTGGTGCACTTCGGTGCCAAGTTCTATGTTGAATCCAGATAGACAGACTGTGGTAGAGTAAAGTTCGATTATCGGGAAAATTTATTTTGATCACCTCTCAAAGTATTATAAAGTAATATTTACTGAGGACAACGTTCAGAGAACAATTTAATCCTGCTCATAATCACATCAAGGCACTACTCACAAAACTCTCCGACTTCGTTCATATATATCCACTAGATATGATAGAGAAGATTTGTAGCTCAGGTGGATGATTTTGATGTGGTTGTGTTCTCTGAGCTGGATGGTTAATTTGCGAAGCTTTCATCACCCTACTGGGTGACATCTTCAACTCATACTTCAGTTTGTGGTGAGCCTTTAGATTTCTCCACGAGTTTATTAATCATCTCTCCTGGTGTCCTTGGACGTGATTGGTTGTTTTTGTGTGTTTTCATACCACCTAAGTTACTTGTATTGGAACTGATTGTTTCTTTGGCTTGAACGCTGACCCTTTGTGTGTGAAGTTTCTTTCTTATTGGTTGATAAATTTCGTCTATCTCGATGTGTCTATTGATTGATGATCCACTGGAATGCCAAGCTTCTAAAAATTCCCTAGCATTCTTGTTGTTTCCTCTGTCTAATATTTGAAGGCTGGTTGTCCCAGTCGAATTGATGTCCGTGGTTGTCTCTATGTAGTGATATGAGGGAGTGGATATCGTGTCTTTTGACGGCTAGCTTATGATCGTGGATACGAAGACGAAGGGGACGTCCACTTTGGTCAATGTAGTGTTTTTCGCAGTTGTTACAATTTATTTTGTAGATGATGTTGGTTTTATCTTCGTTCGCTGTTGAGTCTTTTGGTTGACATAGAATTGAGTGAAGCGACTTTGTTGGTTTGCGTATTACGCCAATTCCCAAAGGTTTGAAGAGTCTTGTATTGATTTCTGAGACATCCTTTATATGTGGTAAGGTGATTTTCTTTGTGCTTTCCTCGGAGGCTTTTGGTCTGATAGGTTGACTTGAGGGTATATGTCTTTTGATGAAATTCCGTGGATATCCATTCTTTCTTCGAAGACGTCCACGAGATATTTTTCTTCAATTTTCCTTAAGATGGGAGTGCTGCAATGAGTTCTGGTTGGCCCTCTTGAATAATGTTTGTGTGCAATTCCTTTTGTGTGTTATTGGACTGTTGCTATTGTAATTCAGGATTTGGTCTGTGTGAGTTGATTTTCTATAAACTTGAGTTTCTAATTCCCCTGTGGTTGTTCGCTTGACTAAGACGTCGACAAAAATTGGATTTTGTTCTCGGATTCCTCTTCTCTTGTGAATTTGATGTCGTTGAAGACGTTGTTGTTTGAAGAAGTTGTGAGTTTTATCTAACTCGTTTCTTTTGATCATTACAAATGTGTCGTTGACGTAGCGTATCCAAATCTTGGATTTGATCTTTGGTAGAATTATGTTTTCGTGTCTTTGCATCACTGCTTCTGCAATCAAACCTGATATTGGCGATCCCATGGGTGTTCCTTTGACTTGTTCATATATTTGGCCGTTGAATTGAAAGTATGTTGTTAGGCATAGGTTTATGCATTCCATCCAGCTTTTGTGTTGCATTTTTGAATGTTGTGGAAGTTGTTCGTCGTTGCTAAGTAATTCTTCCATGGTTTCGTTTGCTAGTTTTTGTCCGATGGAGGTATATAATGCTGTCACGTCGAAGGATACCATTATTTCTTATTCATCTATTTGGATGCCTCTGATTTTCTCAGTTTCGATACAAGTAACCTGGAAGATATGAAAACACACAAAAACAACCAGTCACGTCAAAGGTCACCCACTAGGAGAGATGACTAATAAACTCGTGGAGAAATCTGAAAGGTCACTTCAGACTGAAGCATGCGCTGAAGATGTCACCCAGTAGGGTGATGACAGCTTCATATATTTTCATTTTTTGTCAACCCTAGATCTGATTGGTAGTAATATTTTTCCATATCTCTGGTGTTAGTGATGATGAGTCACTCTTATTGCATATGTCGGGTGTAGATTTAATGAACAAATTCCATACCAAGTGCATAATGAACAAAGATTCACTACGTCTTAACCTCTCTCTCTTTCTCTCTCCCCGCCTACCTATATGACGTTTTACACTTTCCACACTCTCATACACTATT